TAGGTCCTTCTGCCATGATTGGGAGATTTGACACTGTGGTAAATGGCAGAATTGCAGGTTTCAGTATGATTATTTGATCAATCAGACACTGGTTTTGGTACTGGATATAATAATGAGTGTTGAGACTGTGGTAAACTATGTTAGTAATGGAAAAGTTTGGTTTCCTGTAAGTAAACAAAGTTTCCCAGAGTTAGTCAGTGAGACTACACATGGTTTTGATGTCAGTTTTTGCTACATGCTTCAGCAAATTACACACATAGGTCATGCCCTGTGGTGTGTTTTGGTGTGTGAGATGCAGGGTAATGTCAAAATCTGAGGCCAGATATGCTTTGTTGAGTCTAATCTAATGAGTTTAGGACCAATAATGAAGTGAAACAATCAAACTTACTGCATTCACCCTAAAACTTTTTGCAATAATTTAGTATAATTCCAATTAGACTGAGCAGTTCAATATTTTAAACTGCTTCCCGGAACTTAACAAGTTTTACAAGTTTTGACTTGTAAAAAAATGTTTTTCTTAATTTTATGTGCAAAAAACAGTTTTCTTTCTTTTTTTTCTTTTTTTCTCAAATCTGTTGGGTAATTTCTTTTCATTTTCCCAATTTTCCCATTTGCCTCAACTTACTGAAATAACTTTAAAGGGATAGTTCACCCCAAAATGAAAACTACCCCATGATTTACCCTCAAGCCATCGTAGGTGTATATGACTTTGTTCTTTCAGACAAATACAATCGGAGTTAAAAATGTCCTGGCTCTTCCAACCTTTATAATGGCAGTGAATGGGGGTTAAGATTTTGAAGCACAAAAAACTGCGTCCATCCATCATAAAAAGTGCTCCACATGGCACCGGGGGAAGCCGAATCGATGTTTGTGTAAGAAAAATATCCATATTTGAAACTTCATAAACTATAATAATGAGTGTTGAGACTGTGGTAAACTATGTTAGTAATGGAAAAGTTTGGTTTCCTGTAAGTAAACAAAGTTTCCCAGAGTTAGTCAGTGAGACTACACATGGTTTTGATGTCAGTTTTTGCTACATGCTTCAGCAAATTACACACATAGGTCATGCCCTGTGGTGTGTTTTGGTGTGTGAGATGCAGGGTAATGTCAAAATCTGAGGCCAGATATGCTTTGTTGAGTCTAATTTTGAATGAGTTTAGGACCAATAATGAAGTGAAACAATCAAACTTACTGCATTCACCCTAAAACTTTTTGCAATAATTTAGTATAATTCCAATTAGACTGAGCAGTTGCTGCAAAAAATGCATCAGTCAACTTTTCAATTGAAGGTTCAATATTTTAAACTGCTTCCCGGAACTTAACAAGTTTTACAAGTTTTGACTTGTAAAAAAATGTTTTTCTTAATTTTATGTGCAAAAAACAGTTTTCTTTCTTTTTTTCCAAAAATTCTCAAATCTGTTGGGTAATTTCTTTTCATTTTCCCAATTTTCCCATTTGCCTCAACTTACTGAAATAACTTTAAAGGGATAGTTCACCCCAAAATGAAAACTACCCCATGATTTACCCTCAAGCCATCGTAGGTGTATATGACTTTGTTCTTTCAGACAAATACAATCGGAGTTAAAAATGTCCTGGCTCTTCCAACCTTTATAATGGCAGTGAATGGGGGTTAAGATTTTGAAGCACAAAAAACTGCGTCCATCCATCATAAAAAGTGCTCCACATGGCACCGGGGGAAGCCGAATCGATGTTTGTGTAAGAAAAATATCCATATTTGAAACTTCATAAACTGTAATCTCTAGATTCCGCTAACTGTCGTACGCGCGTTCACAAGAGAGTGGCGTTCCAACGTATGATGTAGGTGTAGCGTAAGCTCCAAAGAGAAAAACAAAACAAGTACAAAATGAGGATTTGTAAATATCGGAGGATTTCAATATAAGCCAATAGGAGACTGGTTTGCTGTAAACAAAACTTGGTTCTCGCGAGACTAGCATATTCTCACTGGAGTTTACGCTGCACCTACGTCATCCGCTGGAACGTCACTCTCTCGTGAACGTGCATACGATAGTTAGCGGAAGCTAGAGATTACGGTTTATAAAGTTTTGAAGTGCCCCTATTATGCCATTTTTAAGGTTCCTAATATTGTTTTGGGAGTCTCCTACAATAGGTTTACAAGCATGCAAGGTCAAAAAACGCTTTTGTTTTCTTAAAATATGCATTTAATATCACCTAATTTTCCAACGATTCTCAAACGATTCGTTTGAAACATTTCTAAGATTCAGTCTCTCTAAACCCCTCCTTTCTGTGAGCCTACTCTGCTCTGATTAATCAGATGGCCCAGTCTGTTGTGATTGGTCTACCACGTGCAGCGCGTGTCAGAAACGATACGGCCATTGCCATAGTTCTGTATTTTGAATCCTTGATAGAAAATAGAAACATTGATTATTTATCATACAGGTTGTGATTCAGTGGAGCCAGCTGGTCCAAATAAACTGAAGGAGAAACACTTTGCTATACTATAGCACTCTGCCCTGACCTAGTTGCAGAGCTGATATGAAGTTGGACTCGTGCAGTAATTATAGTCATTATGAAAAACAATCGCATATCCTTCATAAGGATAAAATGCTCCATCTTTCAAGAGCGAGTGTTTTATGAATCCCACGCTGAACTCCCCGAGATTTGAGAAGCAGTCGTCATAGAACATTATGCAAATATTTTACTCATTCGAATTACTGATGACTCGTTTAGGTGCTTCAGAGTCAATTCTTTCTTTTGGGAGACAATACCTTTATTTATCATGCACTTTCGGCTTTTCAACTTTGCAGATTGTTTACATTAACATACAGCTACACACTGTATGAAAGGCAATATTTGAAATGGCATAATAGGGGCACTTTAAATATGGATATTTTTCTTACACAAACATCCATTCACTTCAGAAGGCCTTTTTTTAACCCCCCCTACACTTAGTCATATAGTCATACAGTTAGGATGGCTTGAGGGTAAGTAAATCATGGGGCAATTTTAATTTTTGGGTGAACTAACCCTTTAATACCACACTTCAGTATAGCGCTGCCCAGAGAAAATGACTAAAACTTAAACTAAAATTAAAATATAAGCTGAAAACACAAAAAAGGTATTTAAAAATTAGTAAATACTGTAAAACTTAATAAAAAAAATAAAATTAATAAACACTATGAAAATCAATTACGAATAAAAACTACAATAGTACACATATGATACTAAAATAAAACTGCTCTAAAGCACCAATTTTTCACCACAGTCCCATTACGGGACAGTTTGACAACTCTGTTCGTCAAATTGTATCTGTTGGCATGTATTAAATCCAACAGGATCTAGGCAACTGGAAAAAGTATACGATTTCTTGTGCATCTCAAGGATACAGCCGTAGTAACTTGAGCAACATAGCTGGAGAATGGTGGGAAGAGAAGTAGAAAGCACTAAAGAAGGGGTGGCAGGAGTTGAAAGGGAAGAAAGTTAATAAAGAGTGAATGAAAGAGTGGGAAATGACTGAAAAAAGAAAAGAAAAAAGGAGAAACACTTTGTTATACTATAGCACTCTGCCCTGACCCAGTTGCAGAGCTGATATGAAGTTGGACTCGTGCAGTACTTATAGTCATTATGAAAAACAATCGCATATCCTTCATAAGGATAAAATGCTCCTATTTTTCTCCATCTGCGAGGTGAATGGGGGCAGATCATCTTTCATAGACAGACCCTGAGATGATGTAAACTGTAGAGAGTTGGACCCTGTCCTTTCTTTGGTCATGGATGAACATTTCCAGCAATTGCTAGAGGGACGTGACAACAAAGCCAGGACCGTCACACACATCAACACTGACATGAACAGACGCACACACATATAATCAGAAAAAGGTGTTTCTGCTGGCCTTCAGCAATAAGAGAGAGCCAAGCTTGAAAACTCAGAAGATTTATAATAAAGCCCCCTTCTCCTCCCCACACTGCTTTCTCAATCTCTCCCTCTCTCTCTTTCTCTGCTCCACATCTGTTTCTGGCTCCTCAGATTAGGCCCAGGAGTCAACAATATATAGGTCAACGTGCACAGCTGAAACTATGAGCACACTCACTTATTATCTGATAGAAGGATATTAAACAGCCATGCATGGCATCAAGCAGAGAGAGTTACGAAATACATTGTAGTCAATCTTCATTATGGGATATGTCATTTCTTTAGATGTTTAGTGAGCTCATGCTGGACTACTGCGGAGAGAAAAAAAAAAGTATTTTCAAATAAATTGGTTAGACTGACCTCTGTTGGCGAATCTGATGACGTACATACAATCACAAAAGGGGATATTCTATTTACATTAACATGTAACTGATAATAAAGTAAAACCTGTAGTGTTAAGTTACATTAAATTACTGAGATTAAATTATATTAAAAGTGCATTCAGCAATTCTTATTTCGAAATTCTTAATTCGCTTAGACCAGGGGTGTCCAAACTCAGTCCTAGAGGGCCACAGTCCTGCAGAGTTTAGCTCCAGCTTGCCTCAACACACCTGCCTGGAAGTTTCTAGTATGCCTAGAACCTTGATTAGCTGGTTCAGATGTGTTTAACTGGGGGTGAAGCTGAACTCTGCAGGACACCAGCCCTCCAGGAACAGGATTGGACACCCCTGGCTTAGACTACCATCTACCTACGTCAGGGGTCCTCAACTCTGGACCCCGAGATCCACTTTCCTACAGAGATTAGCTCCAACCTTTATTAAACACCCCTACCTGCAAATTTGTAATCTCCTGAAGACCTTGATTATCTTGATCAGGTGTGATTGATTAGGGTTGGAGCTAAACTCTGCAGGAAAATGGACCTTTGGGTATTCTGTCTTATTCTGTCTTTGTCTTATATTTATTAATTTATGCACATTTATTTTGAATTATTATGTGTTTTGCTGTTGTTTTATTTATATGTGCGCACTGGAAGCTTTTGCACTGTTTTTAATGTCGTATTTTACATGTTATAAAAGAAAGACATAATGCTTGTTTTGAGGCACAGCATTCTTTATTGATCTGATTGCAAAACATAAATCAAAACAAATATACAATGAATTATAATTGTTGTGTACAGGGCCGGCACGTGCCTAGACGAACTAAGCAAAAAGGAGAGATTTAATTTTTAATTTATTGGACATTCGTTTGGAATTATTGCACTCATAACAACAAGTTATCACCCCATTATTCTAATTCTAATTTAACTTTCTTTCATAATAGTGCCACTCCCGTGACATCAAACAACAATGAATTTATTGATAAAAATAGTTGCAGAAGAAGCATCAAAGAGAGCAAACGAGTCCAAACTTAGAATTTCCTTTACATCTCAAGACTCAATTCTTGGATATTTCTCTTTGGCCAACCGCACAAAGTCTTCAGCACTGTCCAAAGACACCAGTCGATCCTAGGAAATGATCACATCAGTCAAAATGCTCATTATTCCAAAAGTCCTTCAGCTCAACCAAGCTGCTTGTAAAATTGGCACATCCTTGATCGAGTAAAATATAATCATGTAGAAAACTTTTTACATTATACGTTTATCATGATGAGTCCATTTAATGTACACATACAGTATAATATTGAGGCTGTTGGACTGAGGACTGTTGTTATTTATTATGCAGACATTACAGTAATTTACCATGACAAAGACATATCTTTCACTGTTGCTGAGTCCACGGGGGAAGAGGCCCGTCTCCTCTGACACTATGCGCAGGAGATCTCTGGCCTTCTCCACATTGTCCCAGTCATTCAGAACAGTCAGTCTGTTCACTGCCAGTAAGGAGTCTGCCTCCCTCTGGTAACCTGGATCAATAACATACATGTACATTTACATGACTGCACTTCTTCAGACACAAAGACATGTTCACACTCCACTGCCATTACATGGGCAAATAAGGGTCACGTTTTACTTGGTATGCTATTGCTATTATTGCATAACTTGCATTGTGCATTATTCATTTAAGCATAAATAACTGACATTTTTAAAGATAAAATGAACATTGTTCTTGTAAGCCATTTCATTTTTTCAAGAACATAGAACGTAGAAAATAAAACATACAACTATAAGTAAAAAATAATACATTTATAAAATAATTTAAAAAGGAAAATAATAAAATAAATATATAATATATAAAATAAATATATAAAAATATAGTCCACCTCACCCAGCTGAAGCAAGATCTTCTTCCAACGTGTACAAACTTCTTTACGAGCACACCTCAGAGTGTGGATATCATAGTTCAGTTTCTCCCATTCCTAAAACACACACACAAATAGTGGAATTGCAGTCAAAGAGCAAGACACAAAGAAAGCTTTGAAGAGCTTTGTGGATGGAGGCATAGGTTGCGTGGCAGAACATCACTATTGGGTTACCATTGATTGATTCTAACAAGTTCAGAAGTGCATTATAGACCATGTGCTCTCCAGCTGTCAACAGCCTGATAAATATGAGAAAAGCTAAAGCTACTGTATGAAGTGGACACTGACATACAGGAAACATGAACAAAATGAGGTTGTTAAAATCACAAATATTGCATTTTATTTAAAAAAAAAACAAGATTAATGCCAAGCAAGAATTTCTGCTCTGATCATCTGATTGTGGTTTACAGTTAAAATGACCAGATCAGTGTGCTCACCTCACTTTAGGTTTGTGTCTGAAGTGAACTCTTCATCACTTGTCTTTCTGGTACAGTTGAGCCGAATTCAATTTGAGAAAATTGGCAAATTACATCAGCCTAAATTCTGATGTATTTACTCGTAGCCAAAGTCCAATACAAAAAAGTCTAAGTCACATCTTCTCTAAAGCACGAAGCAGTACGTATAGAAGGACTTATGGATTTTGTACTGGTCCAGGCATAACTGCATAAAAGAATCTGAAAAAGATTTTCTTTTGCAGTGTGATTTGAATGTTTGCATTTGGATGTGTAAAAAAGGTGACAGCTGTGTAACATGGGTAGAGATGACCATTAAACTAAAAATGCGACCAACATTACACACAAACTCAATTATAATATAATATATAACTTATAATATACACTGAACAAAATTATAAACGCAGCACTTTTGTTTTTGCCCCCATTTTTCATCAAAGACATTTCCCAGAATTCACAAATTTCATTTCAAGAATTGTGTAGGCTGTTATTCATATGGACATAAAAAAAAAAAAAGTCCATGAAATTTACAAGGTAGTCACAAACAATTTAAGAATTGCATCCAAGAGTGCATGCATATTTGTTCCTCACCTCAGTATCTTTGTCCACTTTGTTCCTCATCTTGATGAATGCGTGTAATTCAGACCCCTCAGTAGTGGAGATGGAGGTTTGAGTGCTGCTCCAGGTCCTCCCCTCCTTCTCAGGTCCAGATCTGCTGTCCTGCATCTCATGAGCCACTGTTGTCTTACTGCCACTGGACATACTGGTCCTGGTGGAGGCAACACTGTATTCAAAGACTTTATTAAACTATATTTCACAAATACATCTGGATATAGTACTATAATACTAGAATATTCAACAATAATTATTTTTTACTTTTTAAATTCTCAAAACCTGTATTAACCCTTTCTATCATAAAAAAAATCACTCTTGTAATATTATTATTTTCATAATAAATCTGTCTTTAACTACACACAAGGAAAAATCGTATGCAATGTTTACAATTTATACAATTGTATACAAGAAAAACACCAACATTTTGTCACTTACCTTAATATACAATCTTTCTCCTCAGTAGTTTCAAGAATAGGACAGCAGCCAGAATAAAAGGCGCCCATTTAAAGCAACAAAGTTTTTTTCCCCAAAATGAGCTAAAATTCAGTACGCCATACTCATAGTTATTGTTCCTTATAGTAGAGCCAACATCCTCCATGCACTAGGACAGAAATTTGTGCTGAAGTTATTTCTCACAGGCGGTGTCCTTAACTTGATAATGGGCGACTCTGGCCATGTGACAGCACTGTTTAAATGCCCTTGGGACTAACCAAATTCAAGACAGTCAGCACAAATAAAACAAAAACACTACATCTGGAGCTGCCTTATTTAAAATGCATACATTTATGTCTATATGTAGAAATTACTACTGTAGTTTATGTGACCCACATCTGTATAGTTTCTTTACAATTCTTGCTTCAGAATTCAAGGAACTCTCAGACGTTTAACTTTCCACTTTGTCTAGAACCAAGACACTGTTTTGAGCTATGTCAGCATTAGTCTGAAAGATCCAGCTGCTGGTGATGGGACAGACTCAGTGAATTTACACCAAGGTTTGTCATTTTTAAAGACAGTTTAATACAATTCAGTCTCAAGCATGTCATACAGATACTGAGTGTTAAGTTAATAGTGCAGTACGGCTCACTGCTGCTCAGGCTCCAGGTTTGAGACCATGGCTTGTATGGGCTTGGGCTGGTCACTAGGGGGTGCATCTGCTCCCTGTTGTCATTCGATTCGGCCCTGTACTGTCTGTTGGAGCCAAGACTGTTTTTCCTGCACATGCATAAAATGAAAAAGTAAAGTCCTGGCTAATACCTCTTCAGTGAAGAGTCAATGCCACTTTGGTGCATTTCTTATTAAAAAAGGTTATGGCAAAAAAAAAGTAATTAAAAAAAAAAACTGATACAGATAAAGTGAGATCAACATAAAATGAAGATGTGACCTGGAAGAAGATGGTGGAAGTGCAATGATTCGGGGTGGGTGCATTTCTTATTAAAAAAGGTTATGGCAAAAAAAAAGTAATTAAAAAAAAAACTGATACAGATAAAGTGAGATCAACATAAAATGAAGATGTGACCTGGAAGAAGATGGTGGAAGTGCAATGATTCGGGGTTGTGTCATCAGCACCAGCTCACCCAAGAAAGCTTCCGTCATTAGGTTCTGCAACATGTTCAGCAAAATGTCCTCCACCAGGTCACAAAACTCAGGCAACCTGCAGAAAAGAAGGAGAGAGAACGAAGATTAGTTGTTTAAATGACAACATTTGATTTGCGACTAAATGTTTTCTTCTCTAGTGTTATAAGAGCCTCTCTAGTGTCACAGCACACCTGCGAATGGACTCCTGGACCTTCATCTTTATCTCCTTCTGGACTTCATTCAAAGACTCCTGGTCACACTCACTCTTGGGTCTGTCTGCAGTGCTATAGTTTCCTGTGTAAGTCTCTGCTGGAGTGACGCTGGACACACTAAACATTTCTACAGGGTTCTGGCTGCCTGCAGCAGAGCGGGGTCGTGTTTGTGTGGGGAGCGTAGGAGCAGGCCGCAGCTGTGTGAAGTACAGCCTCTGCTCACTGTCGCCCTCTACCAGAGACTGCTGGAACTGAGGCTCATCTAGGAGACTCCTGTAGGAGAACACAGAATGACCGACCACGACCAGTGTGAACTCCTACTGAGCAAGAGTAGGAATGACAGTTGTTCCATTTGATATGTCAGAAAGGTTGCAAAACGTACACTACCGTTTAAAAGTTGGGGGTCAGGTTTTTAGAATGTTTTTCAAAGAAGTCTCTCACCAAAGCTGCATTTGATCAAAAATACAGTACAAACGGCAATATTGTGAAATATTGTTACAATTTAAAATACCTGTTTTGTATTTGAATATATTTTAAAATTTCATTTATTCCTGTGATGGCAAAGCTGAATTTTCAGCACCATTACTCCAGTCTTCCGTGTCACATGATCCTTCAGAAATCATTCTAATATGCTGATTAATTATCAATGTTGAAAACAGTTGTGCTGCTTAATATTTTTGTGGAAACCATGCTAAATTTTTTCATGATTCTTTGTTGAATTAAACGTTTAAAAGAACAGAATTTATTTGAAATACAATCTTCCATAACATTATAAATGTCTTTATTGTCACTTTTGATCAATGCATTAAAAATTAATACATCTTTTCTCAATAAACATATTCATTTAAAATAAAGAATCAAACAAAAAACTGACTGACCCCAAACTTTTGAACAGAATTGTATTAATAATACAATATAAGACATACTGTAGTAAAGAGGTGAGAACGTGTGTGATAACGTCTCTCCCAGGACCCAGAGTGAGAGGGGGCAGGTCTGCAGGACAGTGGCATCTCTCACCTGTCCCAGACTGAAAAAGCTTGGGTTGCCTAGACCAGAAAGAAATATAAGGAAAAAAGAAACCATCATCATGTCAGACTTATTTATTATTAATCCTCAAACTTACTCTTTATCTCCAGGTTTAAATAAAAAGTTAATAGATTTTCAAAGATTTGCACCCCATTGTACCTGTTGATGTAATGAGTGCTGAACTGAGTGGAGAAATGTGTCTGATACTCCATGAGGCTGTGAGAGCACGCAGTGACACCTAAGTGGAGTATTGCAGGACGGGGAGGCTCGGGACGTCTTCTCCTTTCCTGACCTGTCTGCTGCTGAGCCCGCTGTTCAGCCCGACTGGGTCTCACTGAGGGACCGCTCACAGCTTGATCACTGCTACGGATGGGTGGAAGAGTCTGCCACATGAGGAACAAAATATTGGTGTCTCATTTTTAAATATAATGTACACATAAATACTGCTTCAGCTGACTGCTACCATGTAAATTAAACCCAAAATTTGAACGTATTACATAACTTGTAAATAAGACTCATTTGTCATTTTCTGGTGTTGTTTACCTTATATTTCCTTGTGCCAGTTTTCTGTTCAAACACTGCACTTTCCTGAGGAGGTCAATTCGTTTTTTAAAATGATGTTTTGATACAGTGAATAAATTGTGAAAGAATATTTGTCAGAGTTAAAGACTTAAAGGGGTCATATGATGCGATTTCAATTTTTCCTTTCTCTTTGAAGTGTTACAAGCTCTTGGTGCATAAAGAAGATGTGTAAAGTTGCAAAGACTAAAGTCTCAAATCCAAAGAGATATTCTTTATAAAAGTTAAGAGTCAACCACGCCTACCTAAAACGCCTCGTTCTAACACGCCCCCACATGTCTACGTCACTATGTGGGAAGATTTGCATAACGCCGCCCAAATGTTCACGCAAAGAAAGAAGGCGTAACGTTTATTCTCGCTGTAGTATTGTTGTTGCCATGTCGTGAAGACGCTGTGTGTTTTGTTGTGAAAGAGAAACTACTTTGTTTGGTCTTCCAAAAGAGGACGATATCCACTTCGTCATGCCTGGAGCTGATCCGTGCTGGTCGCTGAGGAAATACAACAACTTTGCGCTGTCGATCGCCGGATCGGCTTTCACCGTGGACGAAGCGGAGTCCAGCCCGGGGTCGTCACATGTGGTTGCCGCAAGCCCGCCGGACACTCCTTCGTCGAATCC